ACGCCATGATAAAAGTGAAAGTGACGGATGGGATGGTGGCCAGGATTTCACAGGATATGAGGGAGACCCTAGGCTCCGAAAGCGATTCACTCCTACAAGGGTAGCTGCATGCTCTTGGCATATCACTTGTCATAAAAATCGCGTCGAAAGGATTACGGTCCTCACCCAGTGCATTTCATAGCGACGGAAAACTTTACCCTTTGCATCTGCTCGTGAATCCCAAGTCTAAGATGCGGTTTGTCCACTCTGGCCCTACCGTCTGCTCTCCACAAGTCAGCCACAGCGATCGCTTTAAACAAATCTAAATCAGATCCTGTCTCTGCCCTGCGGGAAACCTTTCTATCACTTCCCTTAGAATGAAATCCCAAGTCCCCCGGGCTGGCAGGATCAAGCTCGCGTTCCTTTAATTTCAACTCTTACTCCTTTCTTCCCTCTCACTATGCTGTATGTAGCCATTTCCACCTTCCCCATCTCATGCCACACAGAAACTAATTTCTAAAACTCTGCGGCACACCAAAAAAAGATATATTTTGCCAATCTGACAAAAAAAAAAAAAAAAAGGGAAAGGTATAATTTTGATTCATTCACACCAGACGGCTATTGTTGGGTTGGCTGTTGTCATTTTTTCTATTTGACAATCTAAGGGAAAAGAGGTCAGTGACCCTGACTAAATAGTCAGGTTTTGCGTGTTTCAAGAATTCTTGCGGCTCACCAGTTGGAAATTGCTGCTCTAGCCAGTCAGGACATTTTGCTCTTCTAACATGTGAAGCTTTTTCCTACCGCAGGGCCTTTGTTCTAGCTGTTTCCTGTCTAAGATGCCCTTCTCCCGGTTATTTACATGTAGGGTCCTTTCAGCACTCAAATCAAACCTTCGAAGCCCCTGATGGCGATAATTCTATCTGCCCCCTATTTGTATATCTCTCTCTGTTTCCTTCATAGCACTTTCTCGTTTGGGTTAATGGTCCGCATTCCCCAATCCATGACAATGTAAGGCCCTGGAGGACAGGGACCAAGTCTGTCTTCTCATTACTGGACCCCCAGCGGTTAGAATACTGAGTTCCTGTTAACAAGCCCACGCTGGATTGTGGTTGTAACATGCAACCAGAGGGAACCGTGCTCGTTACTACAAAGACCCTCTTCTCAAGTCTTCATTTTCATCCCTAAATTTACCTTTATTCTGAGATTCAGTGACCACGTTGCTGCTTCTTCCAATAAGCTAGACTGGAAATTTCTGGATATCCTCCCCGACACGTCCAGTTTTTCACTTTTGGTTGACTTCCGCTACCTACTTCTGCATTCGTACCTTACAGTGGTCCACCTGTGACCGCACACTTCCCGACTCCTAGTTTTCTTACCCTCCCTCCCTCGGAGGCTCAGAGCATGGGCAGCCTCACCAGTAACTGAGCCAATCGGTGGGCAGAACACCTGGCACATCAGCATTCAGGATGCAGCGTGAGTGCTGAGGGCTTCCAAGAGCAACCTGGATACCGGACGCAGACTGGGTTGAACCAGCAATTTTAACTAAAATGGACACAGATAAGGGACAGAGGAGTTGCATGACATGAAAACCAAGGAAGAATCTTCCAGCACAGACAAGGAAGACTCACCTAAGGGACAAGAAAGAATTCTTAGTGCAGCAATTGCTCCCCCAAACCATCGACAGACTCCGTAGGTGGACAGCAGGGGGAGGAAGGAATGGAGTTGAGGTTTGACTTGGAAATCCAGAGCCCTGTTTTATCAACTATGACAATCTGGCTTCTGATTTACCACCTCGTCAAATCTGCCTCTCACCAACTGATGTGCTGCTTCTCATTCCAGTCGGCAGTTTTCAGTCCTCCTCTTCCTGGGCCTCTGGGCTGCACTGGGCGTGGTTGGTCATTCCCTCCATCTCAAAATGCTCTCTCTCTGCCTCGGGCTCCCAAGACACCACCTTCCCTAATTCTCGTCTCATCACTTCACTGCCTCTTTGTCTCTGTCCCGGGATCACTACTCTCTTTCACCTCCCCTCGGGTGTCCCTCAAGGTCTATCCTGGGCCACCTTATAGCTTTCTTTAACATGTTCCCTACTGTGGTCTCCTTCACGTCCGTGGCTTCAACTGGCACTCAGATTCCGATGTCTCCAGACTCGCATCCTGGCGCAGTTCTTTCATGCCTGAGGTTCAGAAGCGAGCGTTCAGTTGCCTTCTGGTTATAGCTCCACCGAGACCGCTCCCAGGCATCTCAAGCTCAACATGCCCCAGACTGAATTCCCACCCAATCTCCTTCCATGCCAATATTGCTCATTTCAGTGGGCAGTTCCACCGCCACCCAGTCACCTACGCAACACACCTAGAGGTTGAATTTGCCTCGTTCCTGCCTGCTACCACCCACATCTATCATTTCATTCATTCACCCAACAAACTGTCACCAAGCCGTTACCTGCCAGGTATTATTCCAACTGTGGGCTCAACAGTGGTAAGTGAAACAGATATAATTCCTGTCCTCATGTAACATATAAACTACTGGGTGATTTTACCTCTAAAGCACTTCTCTCCTCTGTCCCTCCTTTTATGACTGCTGGTAGTTGGCATGTAAAAGATGCTCAATCAATCTTTATTGAATGAATGAATGAATGAATGAACGAGAATGCAGCCATCTGAACATCTGCTATGCATATAGCACAGATTATAGCAGAGCATACCAGCACCATTAAAAATATTCCTAAGCACACATTATGAATCAGTGGAAACCAAAGCATTTGGCCAGTTCAGCTGGAAACCCCCGCGGAAGCATTAGTGTGTTTGATGTGCGGTATGCAGACACTCAGATGGTCTGGGCTCTCCGAGGAGCTGACGGGTGTTCTGCCGAGCACGGGCTCAGCCACACCAGTCTCCATCTCCTCCAGCACACGTATGTCTCCAACTTGCACAGATGGCCCCCCTGACTTCTAGTGCAGACTCTGAGAGCTTATGACCATTTTAATTGACCCATTTTCTAAGTCTTATTTGTGCCAGTTATTTATGAATATCAGGACACAACCACTGCCTCTTCAGTCCGAAGACATCAAAATGAATTGAGACAATTCGTGCTGAAGGTGGCATGGTGGGGTGCATCCAAATGAAACCCAGGCACCATAAGAAATACATGGTGTGGTTACTGACGAACAATGACACATTTCCTTATAACTATTGGATGATATCAGCAAGTAATTTTAGGAAATCAGCAAAGATGCATTTCAGATATTCCTGTACAATTTTACCGGATCCATTCATCACAGAACAAAACCAAGCATCTCCACCTCTCTCTTCTTGGTTCTCAATTATTAGTAGCGAGGTGAGGTTCACCTGTGATTCGAACAATTAGGAAGTATCCCCATTTCCACAATCAGCTTAAATGGGAAGAGTTTTTCAAATGGAAAGGTCAAAGAGAAAAACAAATACACAAAAAAGACACTTAAGGAATGTTGTGCAGAGTTCCTGAGGTATTTCGGTGAGGCATGCATCTCCTCTCTAAATAACCAGCATCCAGGCTCAAGCTAACAATAGCAGAGGGAGCGGAGAGGAGAGGGTACTGTCAGCTGGACATGCACCCACTCCAGGAAGCACATATAAGTTCCTTGTCTTATGTAACAGCAAATTGCACCATGCACATCAATTCAGGGATGGAAAGAAGTTGGCATTAAAATCAGTGATGACTTGGGTGGGCATAACAATTCTGGGGAAAATCAAACACTCACAAAAGAAGAGTAAGGCCTAAGGGTAGACTCTTGCAAGGCATGCGGACTGGGTTCGACCTGCGTCTTCCCCGGTGGAGTGTGGCCCATGCCCTGCTCCTTAGCTCCTTCGCACAGAACTGAACAGAGCCAGAGGGGAACCTGGCCTTCTGCATCCATCTGCCAGATGCAGAAGACTTGCAGCTTTTTAACCTTCTCCTTTTTGAATGTCTTTAAGCAGACAGATTTTTCTCATGTACAAGTTAACAAGAAAAGTTCAGGCCCATGGATTGAAACAACCCATACAGATCTTCAGAGAGCGCCTGACACGCGATTCGGCTGATTTAATTCACAGGACTCTCAGCTTTGGCTTGGTTCAGGAGCACGTCAGAAATTGTTTATAAGTCTCATATATACTGGCTTTTTCTTGTTTGTTTCTTTCAAAGAGGATGGTGGAATAATACCATTTGACTCACATGAATTCAAGCATGTGGGCTTGGTTTAGATGATGACAGGGAAAACCCATCCTAGAGCAGGTGATTCTGCCCATGCTCTGAACAAGCACTGTGGGGACCGGAGCATCTCCGAATCCTCTTTGGTTCCCTGCCTTGGTCAGGCTCAGTTCTCTAGTGCCTCTTGGAGTCTGAGCATCTCGTTGGATTTACTGAAATCCTGATAATTGAAGAAATAATTTAAAAATAATTTGAAGATGGGTGATTTACATACACCCTTACGTACTGGCTTTGTTAGCTCCAGCCCTCCTATGAGAAGCAAATTCATGATAAATAGGTATAGAAGTATGAGGGCAGCTTTGAAATTTCACGCTGCCCATGAATGCACTGACCCTCACCTTGGGGGTGCTGCTTCTACATCCCCCAAATCAACAGTGTCCTCCTGACTTTGAATTTCAGACGGCAGCTGGTAACTCCTAGCCTGCCAGTTACCTAAAGAATGGCCTGATCATCTACTCATCTACTCCTGTTGCTGGTTTAACACCACCCGCTTTCTCTTTTTAAAAAAATTATAATTCAGCTTCCCATGACATTTTGTTGTTGTTGTTGTTGTTGAGTAAGCTCAAAAATAAAACATAAAAGGAGTGGGTGTTGGGAACACTCTAGTATTTCTGGCATTTCCTGACATTGCACACAAAGGTTAATTCTGTCCCGAGGAGATACATTTGATCATTTGCAATTATGTTGCTCAGCAGAGAAAAAGGTTAAAGGTGAATCGGTTTTCTCTGAGGCGTCTCTGGTGGGAGATGCATTTGAGCATGCATTTGGCTAACCAGAAGAAGGAAGCCAGGACTTACGTTCTGTTTCCCCACTATGTTGTCAAAGGGCAGTTCGGGGCTCCAGGACCCTTCCGTGAACGTTGCCCCACTGTTCCTCCTGTCTGAGGAGCTCACTGACTCCTTGACAATGTCTTCGGGCAAGGACAGCAGACTCTCCTCAGGCTGCTTAATTAAGTAGGTCTCTATATTATGCTTCCTCAGGAATTCGTTCCTCTCCTTCCCGTGGCCCTCTTCCACGTTATAGTCGCCGTTGAGGCAGTCGAGCGTGGCTTTGGAAATGTGAATCCTCCTGGGTACACAAAGCACAGGTCATTACACATTCCTGACGTGGTCGCAAAGGCCATGGTTGGTGTTTGTCCTCTGCAAAGCCCGCATCTGGGTGCGGCAAGGACACATCCTCAGGGAAAATGTGTGTTCCCCTGAAACCCAGAAAGAATAAAAGAATAGAAGTGCACACATAAATCAATGAGCAGGGCGTGGCTGACTTCGCCTCAAGGGACCCTGCAGCCTCTGATAAAACATAGTCCTGCTGAGCCACTCTTTACTTACTTTGGCTTTTCATACGACTGTCAGCCTGATCTCAGCAACTGTTAAGAATCGGTGATTTTTACCCAAAACAAACAAACAAACAAACAAACAAACAAACAAACAAACAATCTATTTAAAAAATGGGCACAGGACCTGAATAGATACTCCAAAAAGGACATACAGATGTCCAATAGACATATGAAGAGATGCTTAGCATTACTAATCATCAGAGAAATGCAAAAACCACAATGAGATTATCACCTCACACCTGTCAGATGGCTATCATCCATAAATCAACAAGCGAGTGTTGGTGAGGGTGTGGAGAAACAGGAACTCTCAATGCAGTCCTGGGTGTGTGTGTGTGTGTGTGTGTGTGTGTGTGCAGATTAGTGCAGCCACTGTGGAAAGCAATATGGAGGTTCCTCAAAAACTTAAAAATGGAACTGCTTTATGACCCAGCAATTCCACTTCTGGGAATTTATCTGAAGAAACCCGAAACACTAATTCAAAAGAATATATACGCCCCTATGTTTATTGCAGTGCTATTTACAAGATTTGGAAACAGTCCAAGTGCCCATCAGTATAAAAAAGTTGTGGTACATTTACACAATAGAATACTACTTGGCTGTAAAAAAAAAAAAGGGAAATCTTACCCTTTTCGACAGCCTGGTTGGACCTGGAGAATATTATGCTAAGTGAAATAAGCCAGTCAGAGAAAGCCAATACCATCAATTTCACATATGTGAAATACAATGAACAAAATGAACTAACAAACAAAATAGATACAAACTCATAGATAGCAGGCTGCCAGCGGCTGGTTGGCAGGGGGAGTTGGTTGGAGAGATTGAACAAAAAAGTAAAGAGAAAAAACCATGGATACAGAAAAATATCAACCACAAAGTATCAGTGATTTTTTTTTTTTTTCAGTGCTGTTGATTATATTGGGAAAACAAGTTCTATAAATGTTTTTTAACCCAGTGGTAATTATTGTCTAAAATCATTATGCAATGACGACAGTTCTCTTCGTGTCTTGCCTCATTTCTTCAACTCCTCTAAAATCTCCTTAAGAGCAAAGACAGATCTTACAAGTCCACAGAGCTCCATGGAGGGTCTTTTGGGAAAACCATTATAAGATGCAATTTCCCCTGTTCTCGAAAGGAGCAGAGAAGGAAGCCCTGACCCCCTGCAGGCTGGCAGCTGGCCGGGCTCACTCACAAGGTGTGTGACTCATTCCTGCACAGTCATCAGCCACTGCAGTTCATGATTCAGGTTTCTTTTTTAGCAAAACAGCAGATGACATCAAGGGCCGTGGGGATCAGACTTGAATCGTGGAAATTGCACATGGTAAATTATTCTGGGAAAGAGTTTTTTGTACTGTCTAACTCAACCAGACGGCTCACTGTGCTGTGTGTGGTGAGGGTCGACTAGCACGGTGCTTATGAGCATGGGTTCTTGGCCAGATTGCAGGGATCGAAACCCTGGCTCTACCACTGACTTGCTAGCTGATAGATCTTGAGCAAGTTACCTTTCTGAGTCCATTTTCTCGTCCATAAAAATAGGAGAACAATGGTACCCACTTCTTTGGGTCATTGTAAGGGTTGATTAGACAGAAAAGGACAAGAGCTATATGGTTTCACTCATGTGTGAGATATTGAACAGAAAGTAACAAATGAACAAAAACACAAATTCATAGACACAACAGCATGATGGTTACCAGAGAGGAACTGGGGTGGGAGGAGGATGGTGATGGAGGGAGACTAGACTTTGGGTGTTGAGCACACAATGCAACATCCAGATGATGTAAAGTATAGAATTGTACACTCGAAATTTATATAATATTATTAACCAATGCCACCCCAATAAAATTAATTTTTTTAAAAAAGAGTTCATTGGTGTACATTAGTCAAAATAATGCATGCTACACTGTCTATATGATAAAAACAAATGCTTAAATTATTAGGAGCATGCTAAGAAATGTCACTGAGACCGCATGTTCTTTATTCCCCAAGGTCTATGGGACACAGACTGAGTTCTGAACAGGGTCTCTAAGGCCTCCACTCCCTGGGCCCTGTCACCTCAAAGCTCATTTTCCGACATTCCTCCAAAATATTACCCTCTCCTCTCTCCAGCAAATCAAGTAATTGGTATTTCTTCAAATTCAAGGCTCTGTTTTATGCCTTTCTTTTTGCTTGGAAGGCTCACCCCACATCGTCAACGTGACAGATTCCTTGTCCCTGAGGCAGCTCGACACGTTTTCTTTAGGCCAGCTTTAGTGTTTCTTGGAATGAATGAATAAAGAATAAGGTATGTGCTTAATATTTTGCTTGGCTTTTATGATTCTAGAAACAATACCCACTGAATCAATGCCTTTTTTTGAGTGGCATTTCCAAATGCATGTACTTTTAGCCCTATTTGTACTTCCTTCTTACCCTTCTTACCCATTCTGCTCAATTCCTGCCCTTAGAGAGAATAATTCACTGCCAAGGACATAAAAAAACAAAAAACAAAAAACCCAGAAACCACCGATGATGCATTTCTGATCATGTAGGGCACGTTCTCCACACCTTCCAAATTAGCATCTGTGCAAATAGTCACTGATCGAGGGGGGAATAACAGAAACAAAAACATGTCAAGACGTTTTGTGCTCTTTTCCAAAACGTGCTGAATAAGCACGAAATATTCTCAGGATGAATTTTGCCCATCGGTACCATTTCCATAGTGTTGCCCTAGGGTCACAGAAAGGTCATTTGACCTCCTATGAAATGAATATCCCAGACTTCTCTGATTAGCCACAGAGCTAGGGGCTAGAAGCTTGTCTTTTTCTCTCAGGTGCAGTGAAACACCTAGAAGGGTTTTGTAAAGTCTGATGGCCGATCTTCCTTTAAAATAATTATGTGAAATGCCAACCCGCATTTGGTATTTTCCCTGGATCCTACATTTTAGTACCTTGCATCAGTGTGCATGTAGGGGAAATAATATTTGCATACACTAAATCAATGGTATGCTTCCCATAGTGAAAGACATCCTCACCTTTGCTCATTACTAATTTATTCTGCTGAAGTTCTGATCAACTTACACTTACATGTTTTGATAGCAACTGTGTTTCAGAGGTTTCTTCTGTCATGGCTACTAGCTTGGGCTTTGGACTAAGGAACGTGCAGATGAGTCTGGTGATTACATTTCTCTACGGAATGAGTTAGGCAGTGTTCTCATATATTGAGTGTCAGGGACACCTGATATTTTCTGATACTTTTAAATGCCAAGATGTAATAATAATAATAGTCGTGACAGTAAATAAGGTCTAACAACTTGGCAACACCTAAGTTTGCATAAATGTCATCTTGTAGCCAAAGCTGTTACGTCATGACTGGCTCCATGGACCATCCCATATCATTTCCCTTCTTCCAGCAACTCTAGCTGATAGGCATCCCCCACCCCCCTCATTTTGCTGATGATAAAACTGGACTAGAGACAGTGAGCAAGTAGCGGCCCAGAGTCATGTGACTGAAGAGGTCACAAGCAGTGCCGGATGGAGGCAAGGACTTCCGTGTCAAGGTCCCTCTAAGACCCTATGTCTGCATCACATGGAACTACTGCCAACACAACCACAATTAATATTTACTGGGCACAGGCCAAGGACTTTATATGCATTTTTCTCATTTAACGAAAGCTCAAGAACAGTGGTCCTCAAAGTGCGGTACCAAGGCCAATAGCATCAGCATTACTCGGGCATTTTTTGGAAAGACATCGCCTTTGTCAGAAACTGTGAGGGTGGGGTCCAGCCACCTAAGGTTTACCGAACCCGCCAGGTGATCCAGATTCCCGCTGAAGCGGAGCATCACGGATCTAGGAACCAAGGCTCAGAGAGGTTGAAGAATTTGTGTGAGGCTACATGGCTGGTGTCTGTGGCAGGCAAAGGATTTGGATTCAATTCTGCCTGACAGTCCGGGGTCCAGACTGTCAACCACTATGCTGTGGAGTTCTGTGCCTCCCTTTCCCCATCCCCCACTTCCTTTCCTTCTTCCCATGTGACAAGCATCATGCCAGGCTCTTGGGGACACATTGAGGGCCTGGGAATTTATGATAAAAAATAGAACTGAGCCCTGGCCGGTTTGGCTCAGCGGATAGAGCGTCGGCCTGCGGTCCGGAGAGACCCAGGTTTGGTTCCCGCTAAGAGCACGTACCTCGGCTGCAGTTTGTCCCCGGCCCCGGTTGGGGTCATGTGGGTGGCGACCACTCGATGTGTCTCTCTCACATCGATGCTTCTCTTTCTCTCTTCCTCCCTCTCTCCCTCCTGCTCTATCTGAAGATAAATGCAAAAATGTCCTCAGGTGAGGGTAAAAAAACCCAGAACTAATAAATTAACAGTGGGAGGCAGTGATGTGTCCTGAGGCACTTGTCAGCTGTGTTTACGTAACATTTAATTTCTCTGAGCCCCAGTTTCCTCATTAAGACCAGGAAGCTACTATTTACTATATGAGGTGTTGTAGGATCAGATGATGTGAGGTACTAATGATATTTCACAGACTGGCTAATACATAGTAGGTACGTAATGCATGTTTAGAACTGGGGGCTAACTCTCTTACTGAAAAGTAAGCTGCGTTCATTCATATATAAATATTGATTGATAGGAATGGGAAACAACCCGATAGTTAAAAAAGCAGAAAAATATAAACCCTAACAATCTCAGACCACGCACAGAGGATTCTACCTTCTCCCCAGTAAGCTTCCTCGATCCATGTCCCTGAGCTCTGCCCACGGGAACCCCTCTCCCAAAGCGAGCCGGCGTTGAGACGAGGCCGTGCTCTGGCTTACCCCGGGATCCCTCCAGATTCAAGTTTGTTCGCGATGTCCACGTCCCAAGACCAGACGTCAAACTGCCACTTCCGCAGGCCCAGCACGCCGCACAACACCGAGCCCGAGTGGATTCCGATTCGCATGTCAACGTCATGCTTCGTCCTCGACCGCACGTACCTGTTGACATAGGTGAACGGACAGACAACACCCATCAGGCCGCGGCGGCCCCCATCTGTCCCACTCTGGAAGTTCCGCTCCTGCCCACGTGTGTGCCACCTAGACATTCAATCGTTATCTTACTTCGACATGCTTAAGAGAATTGTCAGAATTAAAGATGATTCATCTATTTTAATTTGACCCCCTCCCCCCAAAAAACCCACACCAAGTATTCCCTATTTGCTTTCTTTTCTGTGCTAAAAGGTTGCCATTCATATTCTCTCTAGCAAATATTTTGGGAGAAAAAAATCTTGCTTCCCTTGTTTAAAGATGACAGTGTTAGAAGGCAGAAGTAATTGCTTTCCCCACGAAACTGGTGCTCTGGAGAGAGAATTCTGCAAATGGGAGTTTGGAAGTGTTTCCTCTCTTTGGGACTAGGTTGTCACACATGAGATACGTCATCCACCAAAATTCTCAGAGCTGCACATTTACGAATGTGTTTTCAGATCTTCCAAATGAAATGCTTTGTGGGGTTGTACCCATTTGTTAAAAATAGTAAAAGGTATTTATTGTCTTCTAGTGAGCTTGTAAGAAAAACGCAGAGATACCAGAGGGAAAAAATTATGACAAGCCTCATATGGAACTTGGGTATAACTGACTTAGAAACAGTCAAGGATCCAAGGGTTTCCCTTGTCTTCATAAAATATATATTTAGATCTGACACCCATTAGAGACAGGTATAGAAATAAACTGAATTTGGAACCTGACCTTTGTATTATTGTATCACAAACTATTAAGATTCTTAAAGATGGATCAATTATTTTCAAAATAATTGGCTCTCACTAACCAAGACTAAGACCAGAAAGACTTCAGTACAGTCATTGAATTAAAATATTTAACGTGATTATTTATTTCATCATTATTCTTTAAAGTCCACTTTGCATGTATGTTTTATAGTATATGCTTTTAAATGTGTGAATATAATAGAATAGATAATACATACAGTTTATAAATTATTATAATAATAATTATAATCATTTTAGATAAAGAAGGGGGATCAAACTATTTAGAAACCATTGGCTCATAGGGTAAAGTGGAAAATTCCTGGTGTGGAACACAAAACCTTCCAGATCTGTCCTGGGCCTCAATTATGAGTCTCATTTCTCATGGCCCATTAGACTCCCGCCATCCACAGCAACTCAGTTGTTGCCTGAACGCTGTTTCTTCTCTCCCCATGATGCTCCCTCAGTCTGGATGTCCATCTCCTCATTTAATCGAAGTCTCAAGTCCTGCCTTTCCCAGTGTTCCTGTTGCGCCCACGTGAACAATACCCGAGGTGCTATAGTGTAGCCGTCTGGCTTCCATACTGGATTCTGAGCTAGCTGAGGAAAGAGACTGTCCATGGCTCAGGGTTATGTGCCTCTCTTAACAACGCAGTGTCTGGAACTTGGCCAATGCTCAATGAATGTTCACAGGAAGGAAGGAAGGAAGGAAGGAAGGAAGGAAGGAAGGAAGGAAGGAAGGAAGGAAGGAAGGAAGGAAGGGTGGATGGTATAGTTAAGCTCTTTGATAAAGCGTATGAGCTCCTGGAAGGCAGTATTCTGAGTAATTCTTGTGCCTCTCACAGCCGGAAGGATCGTGTCTCACCTATAGCTGGGCTTGAAAACACAACTCCCCTTCTTGGGAAAGATGAATGAATGATTCCATGTGCAAAACTGGGCCTCTGCATGCTCTGTCCCTAACAAGTTGTAGGATCACACAAAGTTACTGAAACAAAAAGGTTGAAGTCAGTTGAGAACATAAAAATATCGAAGTAAGTAGGTATTAGGAAGGCGGCTGCAGAGATGAGAAGGGTTGCTTATAGTTAAAGACCAAGACGATTCTCGTCCCTGGTGAAGAGTCTGGCTTCCGGGTCATGGTTTCGACTTTAACTTGTGAGTTAAAAACTATGCAGTTCCCTTCATCCCACTGATGATGAAAGCAGGAAAGGCCATTTGAGAAAATTTAACAAAGCAAGAGGAGAAATAGCATCCAGCCCTCGAGAGGAACATTTCAGTCTCTGTGAGGCAGGAGGTCATTGGAGAGGTCACCCGTGCTGTCCGCCAGCTACATTTGTGCTACAATATCCCACATGGCAGGATTGCACTTTCTTGTTCTTTTTGGCCAATGAAATGTGAGCAGCAGTGATATGGGTCGCTTCTGAGTGGAAGCTTTAAAAGCCTGACCAACTACACTCCTTGTTTTTCTTTTCTTTCTTCTGTGTCCACCATAAGTCAATGACTTTGGCGATGGAGACTTCTTCACCAGGGTTCTTAAATGAGGACAGTGTAGGGTGGTGCCCTGCCATTCCCCCCACCCTCCCATACTGGAGAGGAAATGAGAGTGAAAAACCAATCTTTGCTGTTTTAAAGCACTGAGATTGGGGGGGATGTTTGTTACTTCAGCATCACCAGGACTATCCTGACTGTTACAACCACGAGTCTCAATCCATATTCTTCTCACCACAGGTGAGTCACTAGAGTGTAGAGATTAATAAGGACTCCTGTGCCAGACTACCTGAGTTTATATTTTGCTCCTCCATTTACTAGCTGTTCAACCTATAAAATGGGAATAATAGCACTGTCATATTGGGTGAATAAACATACATGGAGAGTTGCGAATAATGTCTGGCACATACTCAGCACTACTTGCTTGCTTTTCATATGTGAAGGCACTGCAGCCCAGGAAGGTACAGGATGGTATTGTGGCCACATAACTCACCAACAGGATTCTGGGACTCACCTAGGGCTGTTGTGTTTTTAAACCTCACGCTCTTTGCAACATAATGTGTGATCCTTGGCAAACAGCTTAATGTAACCTTGGGTTTCAATGGTTGTAAATAAAGCTCTAGCTGATTGATCACTTACAGAGCCTTTGTGAGTCCCAGAGGAGATAATGGATGTTAAAGTACTTTGCTGACTAATTTCGCGAGGTAGTTAACATGACGCAGGGGACGCACTGGAACATCCTATGAAAAGACACTTACATTTTTCTCTTCTGCAAAAGAGAAACCGTACGAAGAACACAAAGTTTCTTTCTGGCACTGTTCTCTTTCTTCTCGTTAGGTCTGGGATTTGACTTAAAGATGGAAATGAAACTGTGTAAAAGTAATGAATAATTCACAGGCATTGATCTTCAGAAAGCCTGCCCAGTGGTTACACAGAACCACAAACACACACCGCGTGTTTCGGATCCTCCAGGGGGACCTCTGAACATTTCTTCAAGTGAAAATGGAGAGAATTCTACTAAATTATAAAGCGTCTTCAATTCTTCCCAAGCAGAGCCCAGGGATGTCCGCTGTGCCTCCTCCGCCACAGGAAAGAGGAAACGACCCCAGATACCTGCATGGTAAGTGTCCACACCTCCTTCTCCTCCGCGGCTCTGCGCTTCTGGAGGGCAGCCTAGCACCGTGCTTAGCACAGAGGTGCGGTCAGTGCTCTGAGCACTCAGTGATTAAGGACGTGCCTCAAAGACTTGCTAGCTGTATAGCCCTGTGTTGTCCCAAGCAAGCTGCTTCCAAGGGCCCCAGGGGAACCACAAGGTGCCTCTGGACCTGCCAGCAGGAGGGTGGGGTGGGGTGACCCTCCACATCGTCCCCCTTCAAATAAAGCAGCTTCGTCCTCCTGTTTTTCATGTTGGGTTTCTAAGATTTCTTTTAAATAAGGAACCCCAATAACACTATTTTTTGCAACTCTATATCAAGCTGGGAGCCACTCCTGCACAAGTTAACCAGCAAAAGATTGAAGATGTTACTCCTTTTCATTGAACTATTAAAGAGGAATGCTTGGTCGATGGTCAAAGATACAGAACCTTAGAATTTCCGTCTCAATGTAAGCTCCTGAAGTCATTCTTCAGCCAAGCAACCCATCTGCGGAAGGTGCTGGAGGAATAGCAGGGGGGATAATGGAGCAGCCACCGTTAGTCTGCAGATTAGACTCGCTCCACTGTGAAATACCTGGACGAATAGGGGGCAGACTTAGCACGTAGGACTGTGGGGTGCAGAACACCCCCCTCCTCAGCTTTGGGGGCAGGGACCAGAGTTCCAAGGCTGGATACCACTCGCCGGTTGTGGGAGCTGCAGCAAATGACACAGGCTCTCAGTGCCGGGCACTGTCACCGTCGCCAAGGGGCAGGCCCTGCGTTACCGCAGGCCTCGTGTGAAGTTGGGTTTCTCCACTCACTAGCTGCGGGCACGGGGCAGGCTGCATCATCAGTGTCCAAGCCCCAGTTTTCTCAGGGGTGATGGGAGTGAGCACCAGTCCTGGGCAGAGTTGTTAGGATGGTTTATAAACCCAGGTATATAAAGTACTTTACCTGAACACACAAAAACAGGAGCTACTACTGACTTCTGTTAGCAATACCGACTTATCATTACACAGGTTGAATCAGACCAAAAAACGATGAATTAGATCCGTCTACCCTTCTTGCTGGAACTGTGCTTGCGTTTGCTGGAGTTACATCTAAATAGCTTCCACCAGCCCACTTACTACACCACTGGCAGTTCCCAGACAGAAACTGGTTCAAAAGGATGAACTGGTTTACAGTGTAGTAAGACCTGACTGATCGGCCCCTGGCTACCTGGGAGAAACAGGGCCCCTGGACATTCCACAGGAAAGGACACGCGAGGCGTTGGTGACGCAGCTGACTGTGTTAATGTCACCTTTACGACGCCAGTGTATGGTTACCAGCACTGCTTTAAGAACGGGGAAACTGAACCCAAAAAAGTTCCATTCTCTGGGGCACACACAGGTGGAGTGGCTGGGGTTTCGCCCGAGGTGTGTGGGCCTACACCCACACTCTTACATGGCTTCTTTTTCAAAAGAAGGGGCACATGGGCCAATGGAGTTTGATCTGGCTCAGCCCAAACGGTGGATGACACAGTCTCTACCAATGAATCCCCCAGTCAGCAGACTTCTATCAAGCTCCATTCTGTAGATGCCAGAGTTCACTAACGGGCACCTCCTGGGTCACTAGCCGTAGCG